CAATGCCCACTGTTTTAAAAAGGCCCAAAACATCATAAAAGACACCTCACATCCTGGCCACTCCCTGTTCGAACTGTTGCCCTCAGGCAGACGGTACAGGGCAATCAGAGCAAGGACTAATAGACTCAAACACAATTGTTATCCAACTGCAATAACACATCTGAATACTACAAAAAAAAAGTCCATCACACCACTCTGAAACATGTGTGTGGGAATGTATGTGAATGTTTCACTGTTACATCTTATTAGTATTTTAAGTATTCTATTTTATTTATTGAATTTTATTGTTTTATTTATATTTTGATATTGCTAGGGATGATGCAATGATCGGGGACCATTCTTAATTTCGTTGTTCTCGTGACAATGACAATAAAGTTTCTGATTCTGACTAGCCTTTTTTGTGAATTATGAAATATAAAAAAATTAGAGTCTGAATTTTTTTGCCTAAAACCTGTGGTGATATGGAACTTATATAACACTGTGCAGAGATATTAAGAAAGATTTATTTAAAAAAGAAGCAGCCAAAACCAAACACATGTAATATAAGCTTCCTCAGTCTGATGAAGTGTTGATTCAAACAACTGCATTTTCATTTTTGTTCTCTTGATTGATTCATTAGTTAAGACAAACTTGCTTAGGTCTGCTTGCATCTGCTTTTATGGTTTTATACCAGAATCTGACAAAGTCAAACTCTGATATTGTGTTTAATTGCATTCCTGCTGTGAGTGAGATGAGAAGATCCATGTCTGTGTGTCTGTGTCAAATCTGTTTGATAAATGTTAGATTTAAGTCTAAAGCCCATCAGAAGAGAACAACATCCACCTGCTGAGAGTTTTTAATTAAAAAAAAAATTCAGTTTTAAAGAGGCCCCAGACAGTGCTTTATTTTATGAAAGCTTTCTGTTACAGCCATGCTGTCACTGGGCTGGAATTCTCCTCTGTTAGATCAAATATGATTTGTGGCAAAGAGGAAGTACCTCACACAATAGTGCAAACAAACCTGGAAGTGCTTAACTGTTAACAATAGGCTCCCTAATGCAATTTCAGTGCTAAGCAGCTATAGAGAGAAATTCAAAACAAACAGTCAGCTCATGTTATCGCTGTTTAATCATTAAGTAGCAAAAACACCCTGCTTGTTGTCCAGTTCATAATTTTCATATGATCTTAGAATACTCCAGGGGCCTGTTCTTCGTACCTCGCTAAGTAAGTTAGCTGGATTTGATTGTTGACGATTTCGCGTGATCTTGGATCGTTCGGTTCTCCGAAGCTCATCCGGGACTTGCTGTCATAGTAACAGATCCGTAAGCGTAAACCTGCTCGGGAGCAGGTTTACTTTATGTAAACAGGATTAGATCGCGGCCACTCAGGTATGTCCGCTTCATGTATACGAAAGCAACAGCGATATTTTACCACTGTTTTACCATAAATAAATATTATCAATGTAACTAAAGATAATGCAATATTTGATTCTTTTATTGATTCCACACAGATACATACAGGTCATTTCCTAAAAAAAGGGAAATGTACTATTAACATTCTATTTCATGTATTTGATTATTTCAGATGTAATTCATATTTCAGAGTAGTAATTGTAAATTACTTCGTGTAATCAAGATGAGGGACCACGGCTATAAAAGCGAAGGTGGATTTGGGAAGCCTGTCGCAGCCATGTCCTGTCCGTTTACGCGAGCCACCCATTGCGGAAGGTGCAAGATTGATAAGGAGAGTTTTCAGAATTCAGCGTGTATTGCTGGATAGACAGGATCCTTTAGCTCAGCGCGACAGTGTGCTCATTGAGAGATATCGATTTTCCCGTGAGGATATTATTCACTTAACCAACTTGTTGACGAGGGGGTGCAGGACCACCACCTGTCTTTTTTTGCTCTGCCCTTTTCCTGGTTGCTGTTATAAACAAACAAACAGATTATTTCTGGGTCTCTTTTCAAGAGACTAAAAGCAAGATAAGTGATAAATATTACCATTCCGTAGAATATTCTTATATTTCACTTTTACTTGTTCCCATGTTCTAGTGGGTCCTGTTGTGGCTCTAATGTGAAAGAGGATATAATGTAATATAATATAATATGATATAATGTAATATAATATAATAAATTACTTACAAGTTTAATTTGTCAGCAACTTTCTGCCAGCCCTCTCTCCTTGCTTTTGCAGCCTTTGCAGTGTTCCCTTGTGTTTTAATTAAACTCTGAGACTCCTGAAATCCCTCAATCAAGAGTTCTTGCTCTGCTGCCAAAAAATACTGAGCACGCTCCTTCGACATTTTCGCCGACCAATCAAAGGGTTGCCGATCAATGTTTCTACTATCGATGCGTAGCCCCTTTTAAGCCACCCAGTGATCTCACATTACTTCATCCAGCTGTACTAATCGTCAACAACAGGTGTGTTCAGAGAACCGGAATAGCGAGCTCAAAGTTGGCGCGATGATTTGATCTTGGATGTAGTAAGCGAGGTACGAAGAACGGACCCCTGGAGTCTTTTGATCTTGAAATTCAATTCAATTCAGTTTTATTTATATTGTGCCAAATGACAACAGCAGTCACCTCAGGACCCTGAAATATTACAGAGAAAACTCCAATAATCAGATCAAGTACTTGGTGACAGCGGGAAGGAAAAATTCCCTTTTTAACGAGAAGAACCCTCTGGCAGATCCAGGCTTAGCAAGGGCAGCAATCTGCTGCAGCTGGTTGGGGGTGAGGACAAAAGAGAGCCCATTCCTGTTGAACTCTGCTGTTGCTTCCTTCCCCGTTCTAGCCCACAGATCAAAGGCTCTGAATACTGAATGGAACTGAAATTAATGGAATTTGTTTTTTGTGTGACAAGTCGTTAAATATTTAGATAATGGTAAATCGTACACCAAAACTTTACAGAAGCACACTTTGCACAATTGAGCCGGTCATTTTAGAGTTTGAATGATCTTTCTAAAACAGACGGTGTTGGACTAGCTAGGAGCAAAAGTTTTGGAGAATTTGTTTCCATATAATAATGTAGTCATGAAATAAAACCATAAATCTTAGCATATTTATGATTTTAGTAGTCTCACATCATAAGAAGTACTCAGCAAAATGTAAAGTAACAACCATTATGACTTATCCAAAGCATCTATTTAGTTTACTGAAGATATATCAACTTGGTCATATGTTCATTTATTACCATTATGTACCACTAGAAGGTGCAATATGCTGTTAAGGTAGCAGGCAATATGTTGCTTCTTCACATTAACTTGACATAGATGATAGCTGCTTAGCCAACGCTCATCAAGAAAGTAAAGAAGCACCAAACGAACAAATACCTGCGTTAGCTTCGCAGCTACATAACCCCTGCTGTGTGTTTAAAGGCTGACAATTCTATTTATTCCCTAAAGTCACATGTAATTTTCCCCATCTCACCTGGATCTCTTCAATGGTGTGGACAATAAATGTATCCTGCAGGTCCTCCATTGCGCCCTCCATCCAGTTGTTGAACGGAGCCGCTCTTTTGGCAAACTCAAGGTACAGCTGGTCGATGGTTTCAAGGAGCTTCTCTGTTCTCTGTTGAGCATTAAAAACGTGATAAACATAAATTTACAGGGTTTTTATTGACCTTCAAAGTCTATTTGGGTGAAATTTAAGAATTCGTGGAGGCTTTTTTTTTGCATGAGCATTCACAGAGCTCAGAGGGATTTGGGGGGTTATATCTTCACAAATAAAGTCTCTAAACTTGAAAGGCTTTTCAAGGCCAGCAGAAACTCTGAAATTGTCGTCACAGTTTCTCACTGTGAGGAAAAACTCTTTCATCTCTAAATTTTTGCCCTCACCAGCATAAAGAAGGACAGGGGGAATTTAAAACACTTTAAAGCGAGTCAGAAATGTGACTCTTTGCTAGGTTGTTTACTTTTGATTCCCTTTGGGCTTGTCCCGTGTTACCTGCAGAGCCTCGCTGCGTTTCTGGGTCAGACCTCCCAGAGCGTCCCATTGGTCGCAGATCCGCTGGCAGCGAGCGTTAACACTGGGGGAGTCATAGTAGTCCAGCTCACTGGAGCACAAAAGAGACAGGAACACAAGTGGTTCGTTATCTGCAGCAGAGCAGCTTTAACTCACATTAATCATCTTTCATAGATAAGAATTTTGTTCGTGTTTGTCTGTCATCTTGATTTGTTGATTTTGTGTTTTATGTGGCGTGAAATGAGAATGAGCAGAATATCCTAGTTGTAGGCTCAGCTCTTACTGTGCAAACAGGCAAGCTGTAAATGCACAGGAGCCCTCAAATTATCCAACTCTACTTCATCCTTTTATTGATCCACAGAAGGTTCCTGCACAATTTACGATTTCCATCTGTTCACTTCTCTTACTTTAACTCCTGTGCAATGGCTGCAATCTGCTCCACGCGGTCCTGGTGTGCCGCCAGGTCACTCTCAAAGGCCTCGTGTTTTTTCAGCAAAGCCTTAATCTCTGACAGAGAGGCCGTCTCATAGTCCCGCTTCTGCAGCATGTCCTCTTTACCTTCAGGGGGAGACACAGAAAGTATATCATTAAAGCTAAAATATCTCCCACCTATACTTCTGCATTTTTACTTTACCTCAGCCACACAGCACTAAACACAGGAGCGCTCTGGTTCGTTATGTTCATATGTGCACTTTTTTCAAAACAGCAGATACCTTCAGTCCAGGCTTCGTGGATGGCTGCTTTCTGCCTGAACTTCTCTGCCAGGTGGTCGAGTCTCTCCAGCCTGCGGATCTCGTTGAGGAGCCATTCTTCGTAGCCTTTCTCTGCTCCCTCTAGATTTCCCCATGCATTGTTAATGTCCTGCATGAGGCAAAGGACAAACAGTCTAAAACAGGCTGTGACTTCAACGGATGAAAATCTGAGCTATAAATCCAAGTAAACAAAACAGCTTTCATGTTCTGCGACTACATATATTATTTTACAAATACACACATCCACAACCTAGCATTACTTTACTTAAACCTCGCATTTACTTTTATGGCTCACTGTCTTAAGTCTGTACTTAGCAACTGTATATATTCTACTTAAGGAGTGACGACTTATTCTGTTTAGATCAGTCCTCAACGTGGAGCTGAGACTGCTAAACGTTGAGTGTAAAATGTTAAGGTACTATTTGTTGCACTGTTTGAAAATGCTTAATGTTTTACATGCATTCAAATTGCTTGGAATTTGCATGTGCAAATGTTGATCACCTTAATTACACAAAAATGGTTTTAGAAACTTGGTTTGAGTTCAAAAGCAGTTGTTACTTTTGTCTGGCTGCATTTGAGCTTTGATAAATGCTTTGCAGATGAGGCTTTATTGCCTTTTTCAGTTAATAATGAAAGCTTTAAGACTGAACCAAAAGGGAATTGAAAACAGTGAAGTTACAGTTGGTGGAATCTTATTCGATTTGTTCGTATACTATTTATTTCACAGTTATAATGGGAAAAATGCCTCCTGATGTTTTGAGACTTTACAAATTGTAAAATGTTTATGTAATTGTTGTCACGGCGTAATTATTCATATTATGTAATAGTAGAAAATTCAAAATTGTTAGAGTAAAAAAAGTTACAATGTTTTCTGACATCTCAAACTTTTTCAAGTTTGTTCTTTCAGAAACTGCCCTGACTTACCGAGACCATCTTTCCCTCAGAGGGCATGAACGCAGGCCTGTTGCTGAGCCTCAGCTTGGTCTGCAGGGTGTTGAAATTGATCTCCAACTGGCACTTTTCCTGCACTTTGGGCGGCTTGTGGAGGCGGCGATAATCTCTGAAGTCCTCCAGCTTCTGCTGCATGGCCTGCATGGTGTTCTCCGGCATTCGGTTCTCCAGCCAGGGGATGGTGCGACGGATCCACTCCAACAACTGGGGTGTTGTGTAATGTGTGGAAAAGTGTATGTATGTATGTGTGTATGGTAAAGGATGAGATTATGAGGAGGCAGATGGAGGGAAAATGAGTTCATGGAGATGAATGGGGAAGAAGAACCATGCAAATCACAGAAAATGGAGCGTAATGATTGTCAGAGAGGAAGAAGATGAGATGTGTTGGATGTGATTGACATGTGAAGAAAGAATATAAGGTGAGATAATTAGTTGACTAGTTACGTTTTACTAACTGATTGCAACGAAATGTATGTTTTGTGTCTTTTTCTTTTCTCTCATTTTCTTTACCATTATCTATAACACAGCATCAGATATACACAAATATTTTTGTATTGAAAGTTCACTTAAATTAACCTGACTTTACAACAAGAATGCACCAAAAATAAGTCTTTTTAAAATAGTTTTTAATAAACAGTTAACTTTTAAAAATCCACTGATTTTTTCAAGGAATTGTTTATCATTTGGGGAAATAGACATACTTTCTTTTGTCATGAGAGATAAAAGTCTCAGCTTCAGTGGCATAAAGTGCTAGCCTGAACCTGCCCACTGGTACTGTGGTAGGTAAATACGTAAGGATAGAATGAAATAAACACGTTAAGTTCATATCTGTTTGTTTAATCTGTGACAATTTACATAACTGTAAGGTAACTCTATAATGTTATCATGCAGCATGTACTTTACCAGTCTGGTCTAATTCTCTGCTACATCAAAAAACCTCATTTATAAGCAAATGGTATAAAATGAGAGAGAAAACAGACCGACTACCAAAAAATCTGATTTTATCTGGTGCACTTCTATGCCTAAAACCTGTTTGTCTGGCCGCTGGTTATCTTGATCTGCCATGTTTATACCTGTTTAGAGCACAAACACCCCCAGGGGTAGGAGGTGAAGGAGTGGTGCAGTAAGGGTGAGGAAAACAGAAAGGGGGGGGTAGAGAAGTTGCAGGGCAATTAAAGGATAAAAACTGGGGTGTGCTCACATCACTGGCCAGCTTCTCATAGTCCTCCATCAGCTGCTCATTCTCTTGGTTGACAGCCAGCACCTTGCAGATCCTGTTGGCCGCTGTCTCTGCCTAAATGGCGGGAGCGAGGGGGGGGAAACAGAGTGAGACCCACAGCTGAGAGAGACAGAGCAAATTTTGAGCCTTGGTGTTATGCAGCTATCTCTAATGTTCCTTGCATATCTAACTGGTGAGTGTGCCACAGGTGATATATTTGATCTGACTGCATCCATCCATCCATCCATCCATACTGCCTACACAGAAGCACTCCAAGATTTCCCAAATGAGTCATTTTTAGGGAATGAAGCAATACATCAGCAACAGCTCTGCAGGGAAGTAAAATCAGGACAGTCACTGCATGTTACCATACCTATAATGTATAATGATGCCTGGACGTGTGTGCTGTACTGAGAATGTCAATGAAATGCCCCAAGATTAAATAGAGTCCAGCCTGTTTCCAGCAGGCACGACTCTACAGAGAAACGGCGACAACTCAGAGAGCTGTAACAATGATGCATTAAACTGTACCTGCCATCAGGTGTAGGGGCAGCGTTCTCTCTGCAACACTATCTTTTTATAGCCTAGCAGCAGCAAATAGTGTTATTTTAGCCTCTCAACCTACATAAAGAGAGCTCTGACTGGAGAAATGTAGAGTGAAGCCCAGTGGGGGGAACAGGGGGGCTCATCTCTGACATAACACCTCTCTCAGTCTTTAATACTGAATGCACAATGTATGAATAAGTCACTGTGACGATATGTAGTCAGGTAACCTGTTGTGTGTAAGATGAAAATGCTGTAAAGAGAAAAGAATTCTGAAAGAAAATACAAGCAGAAACTGAAGTGACATGCATAAAGTCTGGAAAATATGCAGCAGATTTTAGCTGAGAAATGCAGCACACCCAGACACAGTTTTTAGAATAAAACAAGAAACTCCATCTGCGACTGCAGCAAATCAAAACCATTGGCAATATACCTCTGAAGTGCTTGACAAGTAAATGTATTGATTGAAAAGGCAGCACAGCCTTGCAGCAGTGTCCTTTTAGAGGGTGCACAGTCTCAGTAAGCTAAACCCGAGTCTCCCTCCTGCCCCATTTCATAGTTCACAGCCTGGCATCCCACACTGAGGACTGTTTCCAGCCTCTTTTGTTAAGAGATCACAGGGGAAACTTGGCTCGGTCAGAGACATGCTCTGGGGGTTCTACCAGGAGTTGCCTTAAAAGGACAGCCATGATGTGCAGGTCGTGCTTCTGTGAGCAAATGTTTGCATGCTGGGCCTGTTTAATGAAAGGCTCGACAGCCAGGACCTCTTTCATGAATTACTTTGTTGTGACATCACAGCGACCAGAGGGAAGGATTATTAAGGTGAAAACCATCTTCCCATTTATCTGCGGTGCCACTGTGGACACTGCCCTATTTTGTGTCTCTTCTGTATGATCAGCAGAAGCCCCACAGACCTGCTGCTCAAACCTTCAGGTCAGAAGAAAGTCAACTCGAAGAGATGGTTTGTTTCAGACAGTGGAAAAACTAAGGGGGCGCACCAAGACTTGATATAACAAATATTTTTAATGGAACAATTAAAGGAAATTTGATCATAATAGGTCCCGCATTAAAACCTAGAGATCATAGTTCTTTGATTCTTTTGACATTCCTTTTTTGATTCAAGCCCTTAAACTTGCAATTACTCATTTTTAGCCCCTTTGGGACAGCAGAAACACTCATTAAACACCACAAATTTCTACCAAATAACAGATTTTGAGCATGATTGCAATTTTCCCTCCCGTTCCCTCCTGTCTCTTTAGCAGCTATAAATGAGTTCTTTTGTCTAGTGTGAAGTTTAACTGAGCTTTTCACTTTAAACATTTGACAACACTGACTGAGAAACAAAAGAAATAAACTGGCATGTCTGACAGCAAAACTAAGAGCTGAAAGAAGCTAAAACAAAGCACAGAAGAGCGACAAACTGTGATAAAATTCTGGGCACTCTCCTCGCCACACAGACTATGCACTAATAAAAATGGACCATGTGATCCAATGTTAATAATGGGGCCGTAACTTAAAATTGGGCCTTAAAGAAGATGGAATATGTGTGTAACTACAAACTCCATCAAAGCTCAATGAAACCTCCACAATGAGAGAAATAACTAATAGTTTTTTATATTCATGTTCCATTGTCATGTAGCAAACAGGTGATACACACGTGTCTCCTTGCTGCCACCTTTTTTGAACAAGGGAGAAAAAGGAATAACAACATAATCATGTAGCACAGAATCTATTTTTGGATCAGAGACTGAATTGTAACCTGATTATCAGGAATTACACTTCCTTAAAAAAACAATACTGTTATTTAACTTTGTGGAGTTAATGTGAGGATTTCCACGTGCAGAGCGGTCCAACATAGGAATGTCTAACTCATAGTGTTTATTGCTAAATATCTGCCCTAAAGGGTGAAATCGGAGGTGTTAAAGAGAGGAGGAGTAACTGTTCCTCCACCCATTGTTTCTGAAATCTACGCCAGAGCTGTAAAACTGTGTGCCAGCCAGCAGCAGTTTCCGGACTCCTGCTTCTCAGGACAGCTCCATTAAGAAGTGGATCCTAATAAAGATTTTAAGTACAGGAGACTTAGCGGATATCCTGCATGTGTGATAAGTCTCTATTACTCGCTGCGGAGATCTTTAGCGGATTTGGCATGTCTTTGGAATAATATATTCCACTGAGAGTGCAGGGACTAGTTGCAGGGGTGTACATTGTATCAGGGATCAATATACTGCTGAAAGAGAGGAGATAAGGAGGCTCTGAATAAGCCAAGTCTCCCAGTGGAGCCACCCACAATAAAAATGCATCAAGCGATAGCACTTCGAGGCACATAAACTCAATTTTCAGATAGCAATGATGTCAGCAATGCAAATATGTGTGTGTTTCTTGGATTGCTTAATGTTTTAATATGAAGTCAGAGCAACCAGATATCCTACTCCCACCTAGTCTATAATCAGGATTTGCTGTGCAGAGAGGAAGAACTCCTTTACTGCAGGACAAGAGAAAATGTTCTTTAGAAACTTATGTTATTGTAGTAGGAAACGTGACACTTTACATACGAATTCAAAACATAGACCCTGCTTTTAGCTCTATTTTTCATCTCCACAGACTTCCTGTTAGCTGCTGAATGCTCCATTATGTTAAATACGTAAACTTATTGTTTCTGTCTGCTGCCTGAAGCTGGACCAATGATGTACAGTAAGGGTTTTTGAACATCGCTATGAGGGAGTTGTAAGTGAATGGAAACATGGAACTGTATAACCCAAACAATGAGCTAAAAAAATGCTAAAAAGCTTCAGAGAACTAAGACAAAAAAAAAATACTGCCACCAAGTACAGCAGGTATTTTGTGATTTTTTTTTTTTTTACTTTTTATTATGTTTTATTTCTCACCTTCTGTTTGCCTGAGAATGCGTGGTAATAACACGACACATAAGTCATGACGGCCTTCTCATCTGGCCTCAAGGTGCTAATGATATCTGCCAAGGGAACAGAGGAAAAGGAGAGAGGACAGGGAAGAGAAAAAGGCACCAGTGTAAAAGTGTGCAGAGACAAAAAAAGGCCAGCAGGGGGTGCAGTGACAAGTTATCTCCAGTTTACCTGCAGTTGGTCTTCAAGTTAGCTTGTTATTAGCGATTCTTAATTTTTCTCATGAAAAGTGAGATGCTTGCCTTGATTCAAAGTGGGAGGTGGAAGCATGAAGTGAAAACACATTCATTTTATAAGGAGTAATGGTTTCTTGAGTGTTTTAACTTTTCATTTTGTTGCATTGAGAGCCAGCTGTATGTCATCCCACACCTCCTTATCTATGATGCAATCCAGAGTCCAGCTGTAGTTTAACTTCTCTCAATGAGGCACACCACTCTCTCCACTTATAAACACAGACGTTTTTGGTGCACGTTGCTTAAACACAGCTGTGGTGAAGTGCTTTCTCCACTGCTGGGCCTCTTAGATGAACCTGGCTCTTATATAACTTGTGCCTCATGATGCTGCAGAGGTGCAGCACAGTCTCACATTTCCTGTTGTACTTCTATGTACGCTGTTGTCAAACTAACAGACAGGAATTCGTTATCCCACTGAGAAACTCCAAAGTGGCACTTCTTTCCTGTAAAGAAACAGGGAAATGGACTCCTGTGTGTAACCAGCTGCCACATATCCAGCCTCCTGCTTGACTACGAAGCACCAGTTTTAATTGTATTCATTCCTTCACTCTCAATTTAAGCTGTCACTCCGAGTGCTGAACATAATCGTCCAATTAAACAGTTACATATCCCCTTCTGTAATACACTTCAGGCTAATTTGTGTCAAGCCATTGCTGTTATCACAGCCAATCACCATCACTCCGATCAGATAAACGTCGCCACACTTCCCACTCTGCTTTTGCTCAGCACCATGAAACCCTAATGAGGGGTGGCTCCGCTAGCCTGCAGTGCCATTACAACAAGGTAGACTGGAGACACACTTGCACTCGCTGCCTCTAAGAACAGCGTGTTTTTGTCCCATCATGCATTTGGTAGTGTGAACCATGCGGAAAGTAAAGAAGACGACCCCTGCAGGGGGCGTTGTGCACTGCAGAGAGAAGGATACTGTTAGGAGAAACACGTGGAGGTGGAAAAAAGGGAAAGAGGGGAGTGAGGCGAAGAGGAGAAGGAGGAGGAAGGAGACGCTGCATCCAGGATACCTTCTGAGCGCCTGAGAAGGCGTGGTAGAAGCTAGAGACGTAGGTCATGATTGCCTTCTCGTCCGGACGGGCAGTGCCCACAATGTCTGTGGGGAAGAGAGGACGTCAGGGAGGGGATGGAGGTTAGGGTTGAGTGGGAGGAGGTTGAGGTTGTTAAACACAGAACAGTTAAATGAAGAAACAGGAAACAAAACTCATCACATAAATAATATTTAGAACGAAAACAAAATCAGTGGTATGGACCAGATGCGCTTATGGGCTTTAGCTACATCTCTTAACAGAAAACCTCCAGTTTTCAAATCTAAAAACTACTTGGTGAGCAAACCATACTTGAAGATACAGGATGACGTCAGTAAGGCTTAATTTATTTGTAGAGAAAGAACTGAATATTTACATTTAGTAGAAAATAGTCTCCCATTGTTTGCACAGCTGCACAAGTGAATGCTAAGGCCAAAATATACCCTCTCAGGAATCAGGATAACGCGCACTTGTTGAAAAGTTGGTCATTTAAAGTCAAAGCAGAATGTCATTACCAAAAAAATTCAACAAATAGACAGAAAAAGTGGTGTTTTTTTGCATTCCTCCACTCTTTCTGAAGGCACAGTAGCTCTGGTAGCTGTAAACACTAAAGCAGTTAGAGTGGTTGAAACTTGAAATAAAGTGATGCAATAATACAAAGATCGAGTTAAGGTGACAGCGAGGTCTTCAAAGAGCTTTCAGATTTCTGAAGAGGAAATCTAAGAGAGCAGATTTTTGCTTTTAAACAAAGAGAGGCAAGAAATCTGCTCTTCGTGACGTGATTTTACAGTTTGACTCCCTGCCTGCTCACCTTCTGCGTCCAGCATCTTGGGGATGTCCAGGTACTTCTCTGCCACGTCGAAGGCTGTGTTCAGGTTGGTCATGGGGTCGTCCTGGCAACAGGAACAACCAGCAGATCATCAAGACTTTTACATTGCTTTTAACTGCACCATAGAAATAGTTAAACATCATCATTGGAGATATAAGCATGGTAATTAAAGTTAGCTACAGGGGCTGGCAACCACTACAGAAGAAGGTACAGCTAGAGTTTCTCGTTAATTGGTCAGAAGACAATCATGTTACTTCCTTGTCTTATTTTCAGAGTTTATTTGAGGCATCTGAAACGCAGTGACTCCTGTCTACAGCTCCAGTTCGGGGTTTCCATTGCCTTTGAGCAGCACACTCACCTTGCGCAATTTTCCATAGTCAATGAGCTCTGGACGGTGTCGATGAATGAGCGCGCAGAACCCCAAACCATCTTTCCAGCTGAGAGGACGAGGCAGAGAAAGAGTGATCAGGAAAAATGGCAGGAATTTAACTTTAATCAAGACCATCCCCATCAGTCTGTCCTCCTTAATCAGCTCTGTGTCAACCCCGAATCATTCCAACACCACGTGCCATTTTACTGTTATCTTCTGCACCAAACGTGCTCAAACAATAGCTCTTAAGAAATTCAATGTTTTTTATCCTTTGCCATGAAATTTTCCTTTGTGCTTTTGTTGCAGAATAAGAAACAAGACATACTAAGACGAGACAGATGTTCAACGTGTGTTCGGGACTCAAGGTGGGGCTTTTGGTGCTTTTCAAAAGAGAAACTGTTTAAAACTCGGATATCTGTTGGAATTTGAGTGCCAGAGCCTGGAACACATTCAAAGAAAAAGATATTCCTGCTCAGACACTTTTGTACACTGAACAGACATGATATCTTGGTACTGGTTTTCTTTCATTTTCCAGAGCAATTGTCTTGGCAAGCGATCTCACTGCGACTCACTAACAGATGTTACGTGGTTCGCTTTTTATTGTATGCAGAAACCAACTGGCTCTCTTCTGCACAAATACAATAGAATGCCAGGTTTTAGTGACTCATATAAAGTTATTTATAATTCATCTTCAGCATTTACTGCATTTTGTCATATTTAAACGATGCAGCACAACAATCTTCATGCAGATATTCTCTGCCTATGCTTTCCCTTTTGATGAGACTGGCAATAATGCTAACATTTGGCCATTTGATGATCAACATGTTATATGCACTAATATACTCCCATATCATCCAGATGCTGGTAATGTAACCATGTGTTCATAAGACACCAGATGGCCAGATCCTCTTTCACCCAGAACATGGGGTGTCTATGATTTTCAAAAGGAATTTCAAACTTTGATCACACATGCTTACACTCCACAGGTGTTTTTTTGTGTTGTTTTATTTGGTTTTCTTTTGTTTTATTATATTTTGCCGTTTTCACTGCCTTAAGGCACCGTTAACCTAAACAGGACTTTAATCCTCTGTGTTCAGCACATCAGGATTGTGTGTAATAAAATGTGCTTTATAAAGGAAACCGTCATTGCCTTCAACCTAAGTAAGCCTAAGCACAAAGAAGGCCTTTGTATACAAATAATTCTCAATCATTTAAAACTATCATGCACCGTGATGTAATCTGAGAAATAATCATATTACTGAGCTATTGTCAATTGTTTTGTTTTGCTCTTATTTATATTTCACTACTTTCCAGCCTTTCGTATCTCCAATATGTGGAGAAAAGCCGACCATGTGGATATTTTGCGATTTTAAGATTAGATATTAGATTTGAAATTATTTCCAAGTCATTGCATCCTATTATTTTTGGATCCCAGGTTGTAAAATCCATACAAGGCATAGCAGCTAAATCTGATTTTGATCGTGATTTTGTTTCTCTGAAATATATTTCTAGCTTGGCCTTCTGTGGCTCATTGATTGGTGCCCTTGGTGCTGAAACCAGTCGGTCTAAATGCAGCACGATGAGATGGAGCCTCACAATATCATCAATCTGGGGAAGCTGGAGAAGGTTTATTAGTGCTTTCTGGCTCCAAACAACAAATTAGTGAGATGGGATGCTTAATGTATTATTCGCCATAAAAAAGTGCCTGCAACGCACAACAGGAGTTTTTACAAGGGTGCTCATTGCTTCTTATACCTGAAGCAGCAGTATGTGAGCGTTCAGAGAGAAAAAGCAAACTCTGTACTCTTCCCTCCTCTTCCATCTCAAAAGCCCTGCTATCATCTCTCACAGTGAGACCACATCAAAGATCGGGACTCTGCTCTGGCAATCCCATTCTCCTGAAATGACCTCATCTCCACCTTCTCATCTCAGCTTTCATCCACATCTGAGGATCACAGAGGTCTTCTTTCAATAATTCAACATACATGGAGGCATTCTGTGTCATGGATCCAGGCCCAGCCAGGCCTGAAATAGGGATGCCTGGGTAGCATCCTCACTTGTATTTTCACATTCAGAACTTACAGCTAGTCGCTGTAATTTGATTAATTATTTGCATGCAACATGTCTATGGATAATTACTTCCACTTCCTGCGTTTCACAGTATACTTTACGAGGAAGTCTACTGTCTGCTCCTGGTTAAGGGTGTGCACTCTGCTATTTCAAGTCTGATCTGTTCACTATCAACGCTGTCTGAGGCAACAGCTCTCATCTGCATCGAGTCTGAGCTATTTATGAAATTATGTGTTTGTGTAATTCGGGTGTTTTAAAAAATTAACTCCACATAAAGACCTCACTGAAACAGCCAAGCTGAAAATCACATTTTAACTGAAGCAGTGCCCTTTGCCGATATTTGGAGAAGGATTCATGCATAATAAGCTTACCAGTAGGAAAGTATCATGTGTCAGTAAGGGGACTTCCAAAATTTAAAAACACTTCACTGAAAGAGGCTTATGCTTTAATTTTTTTGGCATAGGTGGCAACAAATGGTTGCAACAGGATACCTGAAAGTGCAAGTCCTCGAACACGAACAAAGACTAAACCCAAATACAGAATTTAAACACATGATGAAGCATCCTGTCAGAGATTTTTTTTTTTTTTTTTTAATCTCTAACAGGTTGTCTCACAGCTGGGACGCAACCTAAGAATCTGTGTTGCATTAAGGTTATTCATAGTTCATAGTGTTAGAAGAGATCTAGATCACAAGGTGACACAAATACACTTCTGTTTATGTGTGTGTGCACCTGCCAGTCGAGCAACAACATGCCTCAGGTGCTTAAGCGTTTCATCGTCCGCCCATGATGAGATTTGTGCGTTTGCAAAGATTTGTTTTTCCCAGAGTTTCCAAAACAAAGACGAACGACAAAGACAAAGGTAACATAAGCCAGAGTGGACGGGACGATATTTAACCATCCTCCTGTAATCCAGCTCTGAACTTTTGCTCAGGTAATATCAGCTTACTGTATCTCCTGATTGTCAGAAATATTTCCAACACTAAGCAACAAACTGGGCTGTTTCCCTTTTCCCCCTCATCTTATTTTAAGGTTTGCTTATAAATGAGCATTAGAACAACGAAGAGCCAAAAGCAAAAATGCACAAAAGGTAAATTTTTCCACTGAGGTTAAGCTAAAACTGTTTTTAGCTGAGGTGAAGGCACCCCTGCTCGTACACATTCTTTAGTCTAATTTTCCCTGTTTGACATCACATTTTGAGCCTCCGATAGTTATGTTTATGGTTCCACAATCTCATGTGATTAACTGTAACTGCAGCTTAGCATGTGAGTAAAACAACCATCTGTGTGGCTTAATTTGTGCTCCTCTCCAGCCTCGTACCTGATGTGAAAGTTTTGGATGTTAACATTCTTGTATGGCGCAGTCTTCCTCTGGCACCACAGCAGGAGGCCCTCTTTGGCAGATGTCTCTGTGGTTGGAGAGAAGGGATCATTGTGAAGTTGGAGGAACTCTCGGGCTTTTACTTTGACCGACTCTCCACTAATCCCTGTTTAGTGCTGGATTAAGTGGAGGTGAAGAGAATGGAAAGCATGTGTGACTGCTTGGAGGTTTCATGCTTTCCTATTTCCAGTCAATACCAAATGGTGTCAAGCATCCTCTTTTAGCAAACCAGTAAAGCAAAGTTCACTAATAAACACAGTGTGGAAATGCCGCACAAAGCAAACTTTACAAACGTCTGGCGTTTAAATTGGATTATCCTGTAAATGCATTATATACGTTAACCATGGACAGGACCGCATCGCAAACGTTTCCACCTTGAAAAAAAAAAAGAAGAAAAAAAAGAAGCTTTTTTAAGCTCAGTGCAAAGGTCTTAACACTGAGACACTGTGTCAATGAAAAGTGTTTTCAATTGCAAATGAAGACAGTGAGCTAGGCTTCTTTTCAATAAACCAAATGAATAAGACGCGTGTGGAAATGTTCCCACAAACACAACCACACACACACACACACAATGCTACCTTCCACAGAAATGTCTTGAATGGCAAAGCGGAGGATAATGGTCCAGATCATTCCCAGGGTCATCTTGGCGTTGCCATCTACGATCTCTGTAAGAGGGAAAACCAGTAACATTTCAGGACTGATGCATTCAGCAGGCACTTATAGTATAATATATTTTTCTCACATCTGGCTTGTTTGGTGGTTTTCAAGCAAAGAAAAACTACATTTTTAGGTTTAAAAGCTGACAATTTTGTCCATGGCTCTAAGGAGAAGGCAAAGCCCTTTGGTTTCATCTATTTAATGGATTGCCATAAACTTTGAAACTTTGCCACATCAGGCTTTACAGACTGCACCTATTCTTAGTCCCTTGATGTGGATTAAAAACACTCAATAAAACTCCTTCAACAGGGGGGAAAAAAAATAGAAGAAGAAACTCTCAGGAACGCAGACACGTTTAAAAACAAACAAACAAACAAAAAACCCCCATCACATTGCTCTGTGAGACTTGTACAGTAATATTAGATGTTAAGATTACTTATAATAGCTTTTAAAAGACTATATTGCTATTCTGTGTTGTATAGATACAGGCATTTACTGTAAATGTTATTGCAACAAAACTTATATGTATTTTGGGTGTTTGGAAAATATTTCCATTAAAATTATCATATTTTAAAGATGCTAAAAATACAGCACAACAATTGGATGTCATCCTAAGGCACCAACATCCCAACTTTGAGTAGTTTCTTATACTTAAACTACTGAGTGAATGCTTGTGAGGCTAGCAGTTTAACAGACTCACATAACCTAACATGCACTTGCACACAAACCAGCTACCAAAACAGAGAGTGGAGACGCTCAGGTTACAGCTCACGCGCAGGGAGGCTGATCTCATTTGCTGCTAAGAACTCCACTATATTTTGATCCCTATTTAGTAAAACAGCTGCTTGCTGAGATATCAGTGTTCAAAATCTTTTAATCTCGATGCTTAGATTAGACAACAAGATAACCAAGAGGTCAACTAAACACTCAACTCCACTTTAATGATTTCCCTTATGTGTGCAGCAAAGCCTTTATGAATGAAACATGTGATGATTCAGTGATTTGAGCCAAGACCTGTTAAGCTGTCAATCAGCTGTGCGCCTGCAGCTGAAGGCTGTGAACGAACTGCCTGTGTCCAGCCCTCTCTGTGTTGTCGATAATGAAAATCCCCTCCAACAGGTCACCCTGTTTGCCCGCCTTCAATAATTATTTGTTTCTGCCTCTAATCCAATAAGGCTTGGAGCACGGCCGCTCGACTGTGACAAACTCAGACTGCGAGATGCCAGTCAGATGTCTCTGCGTGTAACGCGGTGCGAAAGACGCCCGCGATTGAATTAGGAGGCAGAAAAAAGTCAAGCTCGGTGCTTCAGGCTGACACATGCAGATACATGTTGAGATTAGCTCTAATGAACATGACTGATCCACCAGGGGAAGAACAAAAATCCTTCTAATTCCATTTGAAACTGCATCCCCCCGTCTTTTATCCCTCACCCACAACAAACCCCCTGAGGAGTCGCAAAGACCTGAGCCTTCGACTAGTCACTTCCCACCAACACAGCTAGCAGAGCGGCAGGACCAGGAGGGGATTCCAGGCGGATAATCTGTCTGGAATGTTGGTCTGGCTTAGGAGTTTTTATACTATTACTCTGGGCAGAAAAAAAATCTCTAGTTAATTTCAAGTTATTTCAATTAATTTAAATTTAAAATGCACCTGCCCTGTCTCAGTTGTGATTATTCGCTGGTGTTCTTTGTTTGTAATCAAATATTTTTGACTTTCCTACTGCTGGTCTCATTGAACACATAACTGATATCTCTCAAGCTAAGGAAAAATGACACAACCAGTTTGTTTTTTTTATAGTTTAGACATTGCAGATCAGGTCTGTCAAACTCATCTACCCCACAAGTTTGAGCTCATGTGGGGTGGACCAGAGTAACTAATTATTCCCCCTAATTGCAAAAATCACCTAAAATCTTATTCAGTTGCTATATTTTAAAATAAAATAATACTATAAGCCACTTAAAAAGTTGACATTTATACAGCTTGTGAATTAAAAATATGTTAAATCAATTTTTCATTCAATCCATGTTTACGCAGATGAAGCACAATTGTGACTTTGTCAGATTTTGCGTTGCAGCTCAGCTTTTGTCATTAAAACCTTCTCAAGCTAAGGAGTTCTTTGCTAGATTTGTGCACGACGCTGACAGAGACCGGCTTATGATGGAAAGACTAGAGATTCTGAACAGCAGGCGTTAAGACTGGTCAGAGGTTAACCTTATTAAGGGAGGGAGGCATTGGGGAGGGACAGTAATGCCCGTCTTAGCCACCGTCCAAGGGATCATATTCATTAAAGGGACACTTCACAAAAACATTAAAACATATAATACATCTTTAGTCAATACAGTTATAAATTGAAGGAGAATCTATTAACCTTAAATTCTAAGGCTTTAGTTTTGTTTATTTTCAGTAGAACAGACTCTGCTAGAGTGCTTTTTACAGTTAAAATTATTCCTTATTCCTGTATTTACCTTCAATTGTTCCTTGATGAAGAAATTTTCACTTGTCTCACTTTAAGATTAACCTCACTTTGCACATGCAGGTTTGTGGGACTTCTGTTATCATAGGCAGAGCTGTGTGGCTGAGTTGACTGCCCTCACACAGCCCTAAAGACCAGTCAGCAACCATATGGCAACCAGAAAAAAATCCCACTGATAGGTGAGTGGCTGCTGGAGGTTGCTACAGGACCCAAAGAGATATATGGTGCTGCACTCCTCCTTGGGATTTCTTTGTTGCTAGCAGGTCGTCACCAGTAGTTTACCGCAGAAACAGAGAACATACACCTTCAAAGTAAAAGTTTCCCCTTTTGAAACCTGTTGATTGCAACAGTAAGGCAAACCTTTTACTCTGAAGTTGAATTTTCCAATTTCCTTTTCTCTGTCCCATTTTTTCACGTTTCCAGGAAAAAAGGAGATTTTTGGGTGAAGCTGATCTTACCCAGCAACCACTTGCCAAAAGGCTGGGGGATACACATTTATAGCCACTGACTATATCAGGGGTAGGGGACTCCAGGCCTTAATGGCCGGTGTCCTGCAGGTTTTGGATGTGTCCTTGATCCATCACAGCTGATTTAAATGGCTAAATTACCTCCTCAACATGTCTTGAAGTTCTCCAGAGGCCTGGTAATGATCTAATCATTTGATTCAGGTGTATTGACCCAGGGTGAGATCTAAAACCAACCCTTGAGGTCTGTATTTCCCCCCACCCTTGGACGATATATAGAAATACCTGTTTCCAACTCAAGAACCGAAAACTTCATTTGTAAGCAGATTTCATAGGGATTGCAGTATGTGTTCAGAAACATAAATGTTAAACTGTTAACAGCAAAATCAGCACACCATCTTTAGTAATTCTGGGTAGTTTTTAAAGCCATCTTTCAGCGTTTTGAGGAGCTCTGCAAAATATCTGTTTACGTTCACTCTAAACTAAACAGTAAGCCAAAAAATATCTGACAGTATATGATTTTTTTCAGATTATCTACAGCCATTGACAGACTTCCTGTTTGTTGCAACACATGTATGCAAACTATGCATGTGGCCAAGACTGGGCAGACAGTCAGAGAGAGTGAGAGAGACAGAAAGTGAAAGTCGAGTGTTTACTCTGCTAAAGACTTGTTTACTCTCAGATGGGAAGAGGATGGACATCCCCAAGTTATTTGTGCTGAACAATGAGCAGCCTCAGCCCCAGAGGGGATTGCTGATCCTAAGATCTACTCTCAGAAAATGCACTGCAAAGCACAAGCTCTGCCCGAGCACTCGGCAATAAGGATCTCATTAAACCGCACAGCAGCCTGTGCCACTGCCATGGTAACGGGTGAGAAAGCGAGAGGGAGGGCCGGAGGCCACATTATACATAACTATTTACAACAGAACAGTAGCTATTGATTTGGCTGATGACCTAATTAAAATCAACAGGTGACAAATGCAAACTAACTACAGAGAAGGTCATTCTGGGTTTTGTGGAAACTGTCTGACCTTTGCTTTGATGTGACATCACTCACCTTCAGCTCCAATAGAAACCAGCTTCACTCCTTTGCTGGCGATAAAGTCGAGGGCTTTGTTAACATTGGAGATCTTGTGGACTCTCATTTTGCCTCTCTCTGGTTTGGCCAAGCGTTCGCCTGGACAAGAAACACATTTTCAATTACAGAAAAATGTTTTTTGATTAGCAAAAATACATGACATCTTACAAAAACAATGTAATGTTATTTTAATACTTCATTCTGAACTCCACCTTCAAATTGACCTACAGCTCTGGTTTCCATCTGCATAATCAAATATGAAGGCCTTAATTTAAATTCCTCTCATAACCAGACACATTATAGAAGATAAAGCTGTTAAAATTGTGTTTCTTTAGTTCAAACAAACACGAGAGTGTTATCTACACTATGATTTAGCTGTCAGAAATACATTTTATACAAGCATACTGTTGGACTAGTCCTGTAAGGGGAATTCTGGTAGCTAAAAATCAACAAGTGCTGTTTTCATTCAGGTAATCTTGTTAAGCAAGGAGCTTTTTTCCCTCACCTGAGATGACCTCCAGCAGCAGCATGAGTTTCAGTCCATCCCGGAAGTCCTCTTCGATGTTCTCAATCTGCGTGCCTGCTTTCCTCAGGTGAGAGTTACACCAAGCTGTAAACGTCTATATGATGGGGAAAGAAATCAGATAAAAACACCGTCACATGTGTGTATTTAATGTGCTGCAAAATATACACCAAACATGAGCCAACCAGGTTCTTAAAGGGGCAAGTTTACTTATCAAGCAACTAGAGTTTCTTTGTTTGCATTGTATTGTATTGCAGGCTTATTCAGTTTTACAATCTGATGATATTGGCACTAGTTCAAAAAAAATCAAGCAAGCAACGGTGACAATATCATCAGCAGGAGATTATTTGGATTAGCAGATTTATTTAATTAAGTGGTTTTTTTTGCCTTAGGTGGTTATAACATCATTTTCTCAGCCTTCCAGATCACACACCACTTCTTCCTCCTTTCAGACCTCATCTGCCCTTTCAAAGTACACACTGTTGTTGTGTCTTGAACTGTAACCTTTTTGCTGTAAGAGTAACGGGCACAGTGGATGGTGAATGCCATAAATCCTGCATTTTTGGCTCATTGCACTTGGCATAAATAATGGGACTAAATCTTTCTCTGACATATTAAATAACACCAATGTGGGTACAGTAGCGCACCAGAATTATCAGGTGTAAAACAAAGAACAGCTCACAGGAATGCTGTTAGCTTTAGGGCACAAATTTGGTAAAAAATAAGAGAATCAACATAGTTCATCTTTTGGGAACTACGAATGTTTGTACAAAATTTGTGCATTTTCTGAGAATTTGAAGTAGATGCTGACATTTTTCAGTCTAGCCCAACATTGCTATCCACAGGGAAAAGCTGCCAGGAAATCATGTCTGGTTAGGATATCTGTGAACAAAATACTGAAACACTGCCAGCTCCGTTTACAGTTTATGAGGGATAAGGGAGTTCTCCTACAAGGACTAATAAACCACAACATCGGGACCTTTAAAAGTTACATATCAATGGAAATCTGTTGATGGACAGATGCAATCCCTGCTCCCACACTTTCACCTTTTCCTGTGGTGCCGACAAACTTGACTTCTGGATTTTCTTCACTCAACACACACACTGGACCATTGTATACATACAGTAGGTGTAGCAAGCCTTGGATTGTCTGGCATTGCTGGCATGCAAACATGCTAATGGAAACCATCTGGAGCAGGACCTCAACCGCCCAACAGGAGCTGGCATGAGGACTGGGCCCGTTATGCACCCTGTTGCAAAACGCCTTTTTATGAGTTCCCGGGTTAATTGCATCCACTGTGCGCAGATCAGACACTGTGTTTCCTCCAGAGAGCTGAAGGAGGACCTGCAGGAGCAGAGCCAGGCGTTTATGAAAGCCAACACTGTCTTTCACTGGCTTGCTTTCCACTGCTGGGGAACAAAAGCCACTTAAAAGTCATTGGCGATCTGGTTCGAAGCACTTGTGGAACTTCCGCGATGAGATCACGCTTAAAAATGGAGTCGCGTGAGGTTTACACGGCTATCAATAAACTACAGTGTGGAAGAGCTGGGTTTAAGATGTGTGCGAGGTTGATGGCGTGTGGTGGAGTAAGAAAAAAAACTGGAGGAAACTCTGTAGATACTGTAGAAGATGTGAAGGGGAACAGACAGATTATATGGTGTTTCATCCCTAAGGGCAGGACTGACGGAAAAAGACCAGCACTGAAGATTTATGTGCAAACAGCAGGCACACGCCCTGAACCCAGAAGATACTACTTTCCAGCAATACTACTCATGATTTAAGTCAAGCTCCAACAGGCACTAAGATATTTGAAATAATTCTAATCAATAGTCCCTTTAGGGGCTTTCCAAATGTTTTAAACAGTCGAGGCAGAGCTGTGCTGTCAGCAGCTTGTGTGAATACTGTGCAATTTAATCAAAGTATTAAGATAAGAGTGTTTGCTTGCTCTGCAGGTTCAGATTCTTACAATGTTCTGTCTCTTTTTTGTCTAAGATGTCATTCTTGACAAGTGCCAGCTCTTTTGTTCCCTCCTCTTTGTGAAACACCTTCAAAATAACAGAAAGACGATCTAAATTATATCAGGAAATTTTGCTAACCACCTGCAAATAGCTTCATGTTAAAGGAGAGCAAAAAAGACAGGAAATGGTGTGAAGTACAAAGTGGAGTGTTTTGTATGCTCTGAGCAGAATAAAATGAGTTTTTACCTAAAACTCGTGATTAGTGCAGGTTTATGAAGACCAGAGTGTTGAAAACACTCAGAGTGAAGCTGCAAAGAGCACAGTTGTGAAAACGACTAAAAGTTCCCAGAAGGAATGTTAGCTTGTTAAATGTCTTGGAAGGAGGGCAAGTTTGGCTGCTTCGGGTTGGACGACAGGCCTCCTCCTGACAGGAATTAGCCGGCCCTCCTGCAGTTTCTCTAAGTCTCTGGGTCACTGTGGAGTTTGGCAACAGCACACAGTCCAGGCTGGCAGCCACCTGCACCATCACATGACCCCCCTCTGGCTGCGCTGTGGACTACACTCCCAGACACCTTCAGGTGTTCTGAGGCTCTTGGCAGGGCAGGGCTCAGAGTTGCTGCTCCACTGATCACAGAGAGACAGATTACTGCACGAGCAGACAGCCAAGCATGGCTTTGACCTGAAAAGCTATAGTCAGTCTAATCTTACAAAAAAGAAAATTAATAAAAGAAATGTGCACATTTTGTTGACCCAAGATCCACTTGAGGTCACCGCATCTGTGGGACTTGCCAGCGACATTACCCAGCACAGTTCAGTCATCAACCTAAAAGTCTTTCTATTGTAATCTTAAAAATGAAGATATACTATCTGATCTGTTTCAGATTTTCCATCAATAAATTGTTAGGATGATAATTTATTTTCCTGGAATAAAACACTTTATCCTGGAAGACCAGATTTAAGATCCACTTTGAAGGATTCTTGGTTATAGTTGCTTGTCCAGCACCGACTGCTACAGAGTGGAAAGGTCACGTTTTCCCCATTGCTCCTCCTTGGGATTGAAAGTGACAACTGTGCAATGAGTTTCCATATGACTCAAGCTCGTCTTTGCAGAAGATTGCCAACCCAACTTAATTAATAGCTGTGGTGGACTCCCTAAAGAGCTAAGAGAGAAAAACCTCTGAGAGTTACCTAAGAGTGAGGCTGAAGGGCTTTCCCTGTGCTTAGCAAATATATATTTATAGCCTGAGGAGGACGCAGGTTGAGTAGCATCGTCAAAAAAAAACCTTACACAGTATCATCAGGCACAATATGATGTGACATCAATATAATATACTTAAAACTTCAAGACTTACTTTTATTTTAAAAAACAATATTAAAGAAAGCCCATGTTTACCCATCATCTCAACTCTGTAGCTCACTGAGACTCTGTGTCTCTACTACCGTCAACTTCTCTCTGTGTGATTGTTGAAAAGCAGGGACTGATTTAAAAAGAAAACAAAAAAAAAACTGTGTCATTGTTTTTGGATCTGCAACAAAAGGACAGAGTTGCCCACATCAATACAGCAAACTGACCAAAAACTCATGCAGCTGTGAAGCACCTAAAGCAATTAAAAACTGCTCATTATATGAATCCACGGTGTGGCGTGTCTCGTAGTATTCCTCTGCACTCCATGTGCAACTGTTTGGTCCTTGTACAGTTTGTGTCAGTACAGTATGTGCTGTGAATCTCTGTAAGCTGTTGACATGTCTGCTCCAGAGTCCTGCCAGTGCAAAATCGTTCTCATTACTGCCGTTTAACGCAGTCTGTTTCAGCTTCAGCATCATAACGTGTAACAGAGCAAAGTGAAAGCATGACTGAAGGGCTGAATGTGTCTGTGGGAGGAACTGGAGGGTCGTAAAAATTGGAGGCCTCCCCCATTCTCTGCTCTCTCTCTTTCTCTGTCTGGTCTCAGCCTCCCAGAACTGAGGCAGGCTGTAAAAACAACAGGGGTCAAGAGTGGGAGAAATCTGCTCCACATCAACTTCGGGGAAGTCTGCCAGTGAGCATCATTGCATGCAATGTTTGTCCCATGGCAACCACCGAATCTACAGTTCAGGACCCTTGAATACCACAGGATACTCAACCTGGATAACCTGTACTCAGTGGTTATAAACACTCTATAATAATTTATGTCACTGGGTATTTTGTTAACCACCAGCACCAATGAAAGAAATCTGACTCAGGTTTTAGTAAAATACAGCTAGAGATCAGTGAGCAACCATCTAGCAACCACTGGTTGCAAGGGAAAAATCTGTATGCAGTAGCTGTGATTACTATTCATGCAGCCCTAAAGGCCGGTCGGTAACCTCGTGGTAACTCCTGGTCACTAGGGAAAGGTGGTTGCTAGTAGTTACTACTATGAAATTGGTTGCAAAGAGTGCTATACTGAAAACTTTCTTGTGATGGCTTGCAGGTTGCATGTAGTTTGCATGGCAGATGTCGGTTGGCAGATGCTAACGAAGCAGAAACAGAGAAAATTCACCTTTAAATTAAATGTAACCAACACATTTAAAAAGGTGCAACTTTTACTTTGAAGGCAGACATTCTTAATATCTGGTTTGAGTTGTACTTCCTTAAGCTCAAGTCTTTTCCCTTGTGACCATTTGCCAGATGGTTGCTAACCAGTCTCTAGACCTGTTACATAGAAGTTCACAGACATGTACTGCATGAAATTTTTATTTGTGATTGTCAAAGCCAACTGCTTACCCACAGATACTCTTGCTAAAGTTATTCTGCTAATATACTGGTAAAACTTTGTTTTGTTACCGTTTGCATTTGCTTGGTGGCTGTTATGCATAAAGAGGACTATTAAAGTCAATAAACATGCATATTTCTGTGGGTTTGGACATTTCTGGGAACATCTGGGGCAATGTTAATACATACAGATGAATAAATAAAAGAATAAAACTGACCAAGTTTAACTGCAGGGAGTGGGGCAAAAAGAAAAATGTATTATATAAATAAATAAGCAAATAAATAAAAGAATTCTGTAAACTTAAGAGCTTTTTCTTTTGTTTCAACCATACTGCCATTCTTTAAAGTGCTTTTTACAAATCTGTTTTGTGTAGCTGTAAGGATTTAATAGGTTCACTTATATG